GCGCTCTACCACTTGAGCTACAGCCCCTCACAGATCAGACAATTATACCTATTGTTCATTTTTTGTTTTTAATTCTCAGCAGTTTTAATGTCATTCACAATGGGGGGAAAAAAAACAAATTTTTACGCGAGTTGAAACAATAATTATAATAATTATGCTTGTCTTCGAGTTTGAAGACTGCAGTATTCCCCGTGGATACACAGCCCCAGCTGTGACCTAGATATTTCGCCACATCCAGGGCAAGCATAACCATTGTCCGCCGGTGGTCGATTAAGGTTTTCTTTTCCCGTCTGTGTCTGTGCTCGGCAACGGATTTTCTTTTGGTAAACATTGAAATAATATTGCCACAAACAATAAAGTCCCATTTTCATTTGTTATGAAACTATAGTCGTTCATAAGAACTAGAATATATGTCCAATATTTCACTTCTAGCTAAACAAACAATATATGTCCAATACTTCACTTCTAGCTAAACAAACAATATATGTCCAATACTTCACTTCTAGCTAAACAAACAATATATGTCCAATACTTCACTTCTAGCTAAACAAACAATATATGTCCAATACTTCACTTCTAGCTAAACAAACAATATATGTCCAATACTTCACTTCTAGCTAAACAAACAATATATGTCCAATACTTCACTTCTAGCTAAACAAACAATATATGTCCAATACTTCACTTCTAGCTAAACAAACAATATATGTCCAATACTTCACTTCTAGCTAAACAAAAATATATGTCCAATACTTTACTTCTAGCTAAACAAACAATATATGTCCAATACTTCACTTCTAGCTAAACAAACAATATATGTCCAATACTTCACTTCTAGCTAAACAAACAATATATGTCCAATACTTCACTTCTAGCTAAACAAACAATATATGTCCAATACTTCACTTCTAGCTAAACAAAAATATATGTCCAATACTTCACTTCTAGCTAAACAAACAATATATGTCCAATACTTCACTTCTAGCTAAACAAACAATATATGTCCAATACTTCACTTCTAGCTAAACAAACAATATACGTCCAATACTTCACTTCTAGCTAACAAACAATATATATCCAATACTTCACTTCTAGCTAAACAAACAATATATGTCCAATACTTCACTTCTAGCTAAACAAACACTATATGTCCAATACTTCACTTCTAGCTAAACAAACAATATATGTCCAATACTTCACTTCTAGCTAAACAAACAATATATGTCCAATACTTCACTTCTAGCTAAACAAACAATATATGTCCAATACTTCACTTCTAGCTAAACAAACACTATATGTCTAATACTTCACTTCTAGCTAAACAAACAATATATGTCCAATACTTCACTTCTAGCTAAACAAACAATATATGTCCAATACTTCACTTCTAGCTAAACAAACAATATATGTCCAATACTTCACTTCTAGCTAAACAAACAATATATGTCCAATACTTCACTTCTAGCTAAACAAACAATATATGTCCAATACTTCACTTCTAGCTAAACAAACAATATATTTCTTAGGAATCCATGACAAATGATGGAAAAAAACAAAAATGAAAAAATCAATGAAAGAATTATTAAGCCAGCAAAATCCTTTTCGAAAGTTTACAGTGCTCAGAAGTTTTTCTCTCAAAATTATAACATCAATAAAAATTGTCCATCACAGCTAACCTAAAAGTTCTACTCAGCTACTATGTACGAAAGGGCCGATGTGATTGATAATGTGTAATTAGTATTATTTATAAGAAAAAAAATGTGTTACTCGAGAGTTATCTAGAAAATATCTTGAATTTTCAATTAAAACGACCTCAATATTGTTTTCCTTAGATGCATCATACATCAAAATAGTCTCTATAGAACTGTCTTAAATATAAAAATAAATCTTCTATGTATTAGTAAAATGTAAATGTTCACTTGAGCTTACAAACTATTACAAGAGTTATTTAGATATGGCTCCTTTTGTCTCGAAAGGCAATGGATGCGCCCAAATGAGTCACTGGTTTTGGCTTAATCTTGAGACGGGGCAGAATCTGATGTGGCTAATCAAGCCAATTCTAGAACGGCAGACTTTGCCATAATTCATACATTTGTATGCCTCTGATTTAGGGCTAGCGGACAGGGCAGCTTTCTTTTTTTCCCTCTTGATTAAGGCCGCTTCAATTCTTTTGTTCTCAGCAAGGGTTGTCCCAGCACGCAGTCTGTCTCCATGCACTCCGGTCTTTGGCTATGTTTTCCCCCATGCTTTCCCTGATGCCTGTCTCGCTTGCAGACATCTCTATATGTTAGTCTTGGGCGGCCCTTGGGTCTGACTCCTTCCACAAGCTCAGCATATAAGATATCTTTCGGGATTCTACCATCTGGCATGCGGGTGACATGTCCGAGCCAGCGTAATCTTCTTTGTGTCAGGAGAGCATGCATGCTGTTCATATTGGCTAATCTCAAAACTTCCTGATTGGAGACATGGTCCCTCCAAGAGATGCCCATTATGCGTCTCAGGCAGCGCAAGTAGAAACTATTCAATCTGTGCTCTTGGTACATGTATGTTGACCAGCTTTCACTACCATAAAGGAGAGTACTCACAACACAGGTGTTGTAGACTAGGATTTTGGTCCTGTGGTCAATTTACCATTTTCCCAGACGCGCTTGGAGAGTTTTGCCAATGCTGTGGTAGCTTTTCCTATCCTTTTTGTCAGCTCAATGTCTAAGTCTAGGTTACTGACAATTGTTGAACCCAAGTAGATAAATTCCTGCACCACTGAAAGGGTGTGGTTCTCAAAATATATTATAGGTATTTCTGCGACGTCTTGTGCCAGGATTACGGTCTTGGAGAGACTTATAGTAAGGCTAAACTCTTGACAAGCAGCTGCTAAGGCGTTCACTAGCTTCTGTAGACCTCCTTGTGAGTGAGATACGAGTACCGCGTCATCGGCAAACAGCAGCTCCCTTATCAAGATACGACGCCTTTTCGTTTTGGCTTTAACACTTGCCAGGTCAAAGAGCCTTCCATCGGATCTGCTATGGATATATATTCCGTCTTCCAGGGATTTAAAAGCACTGGTTAGTACGACTGAGAAGAAGATGCCAAATAGTGTAGGGGCCAGTACACATCCTTGTTTTACACCGCTCTTGATGGAATATGGCCTGGAGGAAGAACTTTCAAACTGAACAGTGCCCTGCTTATTTTCGTGAAAAGCTGACACTAGTTTTCTTAACTTATTTGGGCAGCCGATTCTCTCTAGTACAGCAAACAGACCGCTTCTGCTAACAAGGTCAAAGGCCTTGGTCAAATCAATAAATGCTTTGAAGAGGGGCTGCTTTTGTTCTCTGCTCTTCTCCTGTAGCTGCCGCAGAGAGAAAATCATATCTTTTGTAAATCTACCTACCCTAAAGCCACACTGCGACTTTGGATAAACATGATCTGCCAGGATCTGTAATCGCTTTAGTAATACTCTAGCAACAGCTGGGAACAAGGAATGGTCCCCCAGGAATTGAAAGACTCCAACATAGTTACAATTATTTATTAAAATTAAGGCGACCGCTCTGATTGTAACAATTATAGAGGCATCTCACTGCTTAGCATAGTCGGAAAGGCTTTTGCTAGAGTATTACTAAAGAGTTATTTAATTCAATGCAATCTGAATACTTGAATGTGTTTTACTACATGAAAGTAAGATGTTTTAATGCAGGACAAGATTTCAAGCGAGTTTATGAACTAACAGAAGGAAATAGTGTCTTTCTTCCATGAAAAAAATTGGTCTGTGGAATGGGAAATATTAGAAAATTATACATAGCTCTTTAGAGTTTGCATTTACACAGCTCTTCTCCATCACGTGAACAAATTAAATACTAAGATACAGGGGAAAATCCATTTATAAAGATATCTGGTGGCCACCATAAAGGTTTTAAACAGCTTATTTTATTTACAAATCAGCTAGCTGAAAGTGACTTGGCTCATCTACTGACTGTTGTGAAGGAAAACAAGCTTAGATATCATTAAGATAACACAATTATTTCATGGCAAATCAAAAATTTAAAACTTCTGTGCAATGAAAAGGATTTAGATATTTTTAGAATGTAATTTAAATGTAAATTGTAAGAGAGTCAAACGTAGCTAATAATAAATCCTAATCAAAACTTCTTAATATTCAAAAACTTGAGCTCTACGAAAACCTTGCCTAAATTTAGTTTTCCAAATTTAATTTCTCTTGCTCTGAGAATTTCGTTCCATGTTTGAATATTTATTTTGAGCCGCCTAAAAAAAAACTGTTTCAGAAATAGATTCACAACGTAGACCTCAGTTCGTTCTAAGAATAATTACATCCCTATTGGAACCAAATTACGAAAAACTATTATAAAAGCACTGGCATCTTAAATGCATAGTATTGGTTCACTTATAATAGACTATAATTTAATAATATTTTTTATGTTTATAATAATGCATCGATTCCCGTTTTATTGATTAATAGTGTTTCTGCTTTCGAATGATTTTTTTTTTTATCTTGAATAAATTTCTCTTAACAAAACTGATTAAAGTTAATCTAAAACGGGATGGAGTGTTAGAACATAAGCGGTTAACATAATTGTCAAAAAAGTAGACTAGGACAGTGTAGAATAAGTCCTTATTTATGTCCTATCGGGTTAGACACTAGCCCAATGGTCCGGGTACTTCTAAGGCCGTCTCTTACAAAAGATTGAATCAAAGTGGATGACTGCCCCGTCGTATGGTACGCACTCTGGGCTGTTGACTTAATGGTCCTGGGGTCTGAGCGCTGACCGCTGTCCTACATGTTTGGGTAATGAACCATCAGTTCTGAAGAAACATCTGAAATTTGTACACCAAAACAAAAGCGCACTAAGCATTTTATAGGAATATTCAATACGCGATCTACAAAATTAATAATAACTATTTTACTTTTTAAACACTTAATTTAAAAACTTAATTTAATTCCGCCTTTACTCTTAAGCTTGAACAATGTGAAATAAAAATTAAAATTCTGGAGCAGCAGGGTATCGATCCTTATACCTCTCACATGCTAAGCGAGCACTCTACCACTTGAGGTACAGCCCCTACGTACACATATTCTTAGCAATCAGGTTTTTCTTCAAATCTGACCAGTTTGACATAAATATACGTTAAAGTGTGTATTACGTTTGAAAATAATTTTAGTAGCTTTAAGTAACTCTAACTAATGTAGCTTTAGAGTAGTCTAGAGTCTAGACTCTAGATCTACGTTAAATAATGCCCGGATTTAGTGATGTCACATATAGGCATGCAGCGCCCTGTGTCTGAAGATCCTCGACGAGATTTTACGCACATTTCTGCTAACCACTGCCTGAAGCACAGATCACAGGAAATCACTAAATAGTTGTTTCTTAGCTAAAACGGTGGGACCCTTACTGCCCCTCTCAGTGGGCCATCGGTAACATGATCCGTTGTCAAGGCCAAACCGGTTGTGATTTTATATACAATATTATAAGTAAACAGATATTTAGATCTACTCTCGTATAAAAGGTATAAAAGGTTGGATGAATACCTCCCAGCTAGAAAACTAGTGGATGGTTGGAGATGCAGACGTATCCAGATGCCGTCTTTTATGCATCATGCCACTAGACTATCTGATGAAGCTGGCCTCTCCACCAACCGACAAAACATTCAACGCTTTCATCCCCTTCCCCCTTGGTGTCGCCCAACGACCCCAGACATACGCTTGAAATTAGTAGACCCTAATGCCACTAAGCAAAGCCGTTCATCTAACGACCTTCAAATCCTAGCTCTGGAGACCATTAATACCTTCAAGCCCAGTGCTATTTTTGCATACACTGATGGGTCGGCATCAATAGATTCTGGAAGAGCAGGCTATGGAGCGTACATCGACTTTCTTGGCTCTTGCACAGTCAAAATCTTTGGACCATGTAGTAGTGTTTGCAGTTTTGATGCGGAGACCATGGCAGTCTGTGAATCCCCTAAAAGTCATTGACTCTCAACTCGGCTAGGGACATTTTAGGGCAACACTGATTGTTGTGGTCACTGACTCAAAATCTGTACTACAGGCTTTGCAAAGCCCCGGACCATGGCCTCCCAATATCAACACTGCCATCATGGCTTCACATAACATTGAACAACGCTATGGCACCCCTGTAATTATGCAGTGGGTACCGAGTCACATAGGTATGACTGGCAACACAATTGCAGACTCTATGGCCCACCAGGGAGGGCAAATTCCACCCTCTGATGAGGCTGTAAGCTTTCATCAAGCCCTGGCTATAATACAAAAAAACAGAAATGGAAAAGTGGTTTGAGTGCTTGGACAAGTCCCAAAAAGCCCGTGGAGTCTGGAAGCGCATGAGGCGCCCTGACCGCACTTCCCCGTGGTGGAGGCTGTCCAGGCCTGAGCAAGCTATTATAGCACAGTGCAGGACAGGCCACTGTCCTGTTGGCTCATATTTCTCGCGGCTATGGCAAAATTTTGTTTCACGGTGCCCCCGCTGCGGGGAAGAAGAGGAAACCGTGCCTCATATTCTGTTTGACTGCCCCAGACCTGCTGATCTCCGTCTCGACAGGTCTGGGAAACCCAAAATGTCTCGACCTGTATGGCGACATTTATGCACTACGCAAGACAGCAGGGTTTCTGTCCAGGTCTTTTGCAAGAGAGGATTTGAACCTCTCAAGCCCTCACTCTAATGGAGTTTGATGATGATGATGATGTCTCCAGGTTGGGCATATGTAATCACCAGACGATGTTGCTCTTTCACCTTCTTTCTGCTTCTGTTCTACATGGCATCTGCAATCCGAGACCCTTCCTTTATGCTCTCTCTCCATGTAGATCAATCAAGTGCCACCTTTTCCCAGCTGCCAGTGTCGATTTTGAAGAGCTTCATGTCGCGTTTGCATACATCCGTAAAAAAAAGGGGCGACCAGCGGCTCTCCTGCCTTCTATTAGATCGCCATTCAGAATGTCTTGTGGAAGTCGACCTACTGCAGAGTTGCCTACAAGAGTGCATCTTGTATGCAAATGGACTCGAAAATTCGCGAGTACGGTTTATCATTTAAAAAAAAAAAGTAGTTCTTGCTAATCATATATATAGATCAGTGCGTCAATACCTGGAAATGGACTATTCCTATTAGATCTACTACGAGATAGATCTAGATATACGATCGCTTTTCTCTTTTCGCGCGAAGGTTTAAATATTTACTAGGTCTAGATCTTACTGATCTAAATAAAGTTGAGTTTCTTTTAATGTGTCAGCTTATATGAGGTCTTCAAACTAATTGGGAATTAATTGATTGATTAGTTCTAATTCATCTAGACTGGATCTAAAACCAGAGATATGTCAGGCACTATAATAGAATGTACGTAAATCTAGAGTTGGAATTGAGATCTAGATCTAATGGTGTAATCTAAATATAGATCTAGATTTTTCTAGATTTAGATATAAATCTAGATTCTAAATCTAATTCTAGTCTACATTCTAACTCTAGATATGACCAGGTCTGTAATAGACTTAGATTTAGACTACTGGCTAGATGTAGCAATCAATGTAGGCTGTAGGTTTAGATTCCACTCTAGTAGAAGAGGTACCTCAATTTCGTATCAATTATGGAATCTAAAATATTTACATTAAAAAACAATCAACTGTTAATGAAGCTGCTTACAGATCTAGATCTATTCTAGATTTGGATTTGATTTTTTTTTAGATGAAAGTGAGAAGGGCAGAGGTTTTTATAGAAGAAATATTGGCTGCGCTTAATCTCTCTTTTAGCATGATAAAGGGAATCAAACTGATGTTTCATAACTTGCAGAATGTAACTTCTGTGGTAGCTACTGTTATAGTCACTAGCGACTAGCTATGTTCCATATGGCCTACTTATAAAGGTCTAAATTCAAAGAATGAAATCAGAGGCATTTAAAGCAGACTCAATAGCCAAGCTTTTTTATATTAGAAACAAGTTCAATGACTAATTAGGATTATCTGCCTTTAAAACAAATATTTAAAATGTTTGTAATTAGTAATTGTAGAGGATGCCAAAGCTTCCATTGCTAACTCTGCAAAAAAGGTCTGGAAGAAGAAAATCTGAGTGATATAAAATATTAAGGCTAAGGCTTTAGTATTGTTAATCAGCAATATGTTGTCCCACATTCTTTTCTGCAACCTTGACATGGTGCCCATTGCTTTGGCTATCCTGTTGTTAATGTCTTTATCCAGTACAGCATTGTTGGCTCTTCATTAGTAATTAAAAGACTAGATTCTAAGTTATAATCATTACTTAGATTGTTGTAAAAATAATCCCCATATACAAAGTCTAAACACTTTTACTGACTCTTGTAGTAGACCAAATCTTTAGTCTGCTTCTGTAGTCTGGTTTCCATTGTAGTCGGAAGTCTGTGTATTTAAAATAAATTGTAAACGTGAAATAATTTTGATCTTTTAAAATTGCAAAAAAAAAAAAAAAAAAATAAGAAGAATTTCAGAATTTAAACAAGTTTATTTTTAATATATCAAGTAAAACTTAAACACTTGTTGAGTACTCGGATGTCGTTGTGGAGTAATCGGATGTCGTTGTGGAGTAATCGGATGTCGTTGTGGAGTAATCGGATGTCGTTGTGGAGTAATCAGATGTCGTTGTGGAGTAATCAGATGTTGTTGTGGAGTAATCAGATGTCGTTGTGGAGTAATCAGATGTCGTTGTGGAAAAATCTGCTGTCGATGAGGGGTAGCCTTTCTTCGTTGTTGAAAAGTCTGCTGTGAAGTAATCAGATGTCGTTGTGGAATAGTCTGCTGTCGATGAGGGGTAGCCTTTCTTCGTTGTTGAAAAGTCTGCTGTGAAGTAATCAGATGTCGTTGTGGAATAGTCTGCTGTCGATGAGGGGTAGCCTTTCTTTGTTGTTGAAAAGTCGGCTGTGGAGTAATCAGATGTCGTTGTGGAATAGTCTGCTGTCGATGAGGGGTAGCCTTTCTTTGTTGTTGAAAAGTCTGCTGAGGAGTAATCAGATGTCGTTGTGGAGTAGTCTGCTGTCGATGAGGGGTAGCCTTTCTTTGTTGTTGAAAAGTCGGCTGTGGAGTAATCAGATGTCGTTGTGGAGTAGTCTGCTGTCGATGAGGGGTAGCCTTTCTTTGTTGTTGAAAAGTCGGCTGTGGAGTAATCAGATGTCGTTGTGGAATAGTCTGCTGTCGATGAGGGGTAGCCTTTCTTTGTTGTTGAAAAGTCTGCTGAGGAGTAATCAGATGTCGTTGTGGAGTAATCAGATGTTGTTGTGGAAAAATCTTCTGTATTTGTGAGGAAGTCTGTAGACGTTGTGGAGTAATCAGATGTTGTTGTGGAAAAATCTTCTGTATTTGTGAGGAAGTCTGTTGACGTTGAGGAGTAGTAGTATGAGGTTGTGGAATAATCTGTTGTTGAAATGATGCTGTACTGGCAGACGTAAGAGTGGGCCTCACGAGCAGACAACACCAAGAGGGCGGCGCTGCTCTCACAGGAGCTCTCCCTCCACTTTCCGCCTACAGAGGGAGAAATGTCCATGACCACGCAGTCTCTGGTGATGTGGGTGAAGTTATGGTTGGCTGTGGTGCTGCTTGGGCCTTCACCCTGGTACCAGTTGCTGTAGAAGCCAAGCTTGGTGCCATCCTCCCAGACGTAGTGATCCTCTTGGGCGAGGTCGTTCAGGCCTATCCAGACTCTGTCATAGGCGTCGTTATAGGTCGTAATTAGCTGCTGGTACACGAAGTTCTGTATATCTGCCGTCTTGACCAGGACCAGACTTCCGCCCTGGAGCTCGCAGTCAGTCTTGGCCTCTGAGTGAGTGTACTTCCGATAGACGACGAACTGATAGCAGAAATCACCATGAACTTTCAAATAGCGATCTTTAGCAGGTCCATCAGGACACAAGTTAATATCTTGCGATGTAACTGAAGAGAAATACGCATAGTTTGTTATAATAATATTGTCTTTTATGTAGAGAGTAGGCCTAGTATTCATTTAGCTTGGGTGACAGTAGAATAAAAATGTAAAAATTGATATCATTACATTACAGAGTCAGGATGCCCCTGTCAGACTTTTAGATCTTAATG